GGAAATATGACGACTTGTGTGTGGCAATGATATGCAGCGACGACAGCTAAAGTCTTTGAAAAGACCCTTGGAGCGGAAGCAAGACCAAACGGGAGAACCCTGTATTGGAAATGCTCATTGTTTATTACGAAGCGAAGGAAACATCTGTGCACCGGGTGTACAGTGATGTGGAAGTAGGCATCCTGCAAGTCGAGAGCAGCAAACCAGTCATTGTCATCTAGAGATGGAATTATTGTAGTATGAGTTACCATCTTGAATCGCTGTTTTTGAAGGTAACAATTCAGCTGGCCCAACCCCCTGTCTTCTTTTGCGTTAGGAAATAGCGTGAAAAAAATCCTCTTCCCTTGAATTCGGTTGGGACCTTTTCTATTGCACCAATGGCAAGTAGGCAATGGGCTTCTTGCCGTAAAAGGTCCTCATGAGAGGGGCCCCTGAAAAGGGACGGGGTTGGTGGGGTGGTGGGAGGGAGGGAAGTAAAGGGAATGATGAACCCTGACCTTCTAAATTCCAGTACCCATTTGTCTGCTTTATTTCCACCCATCAGTGGTAATAGGGCCATAGACGTTGATGGAATATGGGGTTGACGCTGACTGTGTTGACAATGACAGCTGGTGTGGGTATGCTCTCGACAGAGGAGTCAAACCTGCTGTTTGGCAGTTGGCACATGGGTCGCTCTAGATAGCTGGGGGGTGCCTCTGTTGCGGCCTCTGTTTAGTGCGTGCTTGTTCGAACGGACGAGTCTGCTGTCGATGGAATTGATAATCATACTGTCTTTGGTACGGGAAATACCTTCTACAACGGAATGGAGGCACGTACATCCCCAGCGTATGTAGAGTTGTCCGTGAGTCCTTTCCTGTGTGTAGGACTTCGTCTGTTTTGTCTGTGAATAATTTCAGCTTGTCGAAAGGAAGATCCTTGACTTTAGCCTGCAAATCTCTAGGAGCACCCGCTGCAGCTAACCATGACGCTCTCCTCATGGACACCGCGGTTGCCACTGATCTTTCTGCGGTGTCTGCTATATTCATGGCAATCTGTAGGCTCACCCTTGAACACGCGTAGCCTTCCTGCACTATTGCACGTAATAAAGCTTTGTCTGCTTCCGAGGCGTTCTGTGCTAGTTCTGTTATCTTAGCGATATTATCAAAGCTATAATTAGAGAGCAAGGCCGCATAGTTAGCAATGCGGGAAGAAGCGTGGATGAATAGTAGACCTTTCGACCAAAGATGTCTAACTTCTTGGCATCCTTATCTGACCCCAAGCTCTTCACCTGTGGATTTTTGGCTCTCTGCAAAACCGCATCCACCAGCAGGGAGTTTGGCTGGGGATAGGTGAAAAGAAATTCTAGGCCCTTCGATGGTACAAAGTATCTTTTTTCTACCCTCTTTGATGTAAGCATAGTCGACGCAGGGTATGCCAAATTTCTGTGGCTGGTTCTAGGATTGCTTCGTCAATAGGGCGCGCTGCCCTCGGTTGTTGGCTGGGGTGCGGGTTCTTTAAAAGTTTGTATTGTTTAGATTGCACCTCTGATGACTGCACGTTCTGTGACTGTGCTACCCTTTTAAAGAGTAAGAGAACAAGATCTATGTGATGGCATTCATTGTTGAGGTGGAGAATGCCTATATATGTAGGTGTAATGGGACCTCAAGTGTTGATGTGGAGATCTAGGGCTACTGCAGGAGCGAGATCTCCAGTGTGGTGAAGGGTACTGTGGAGGGGATGGAGAGAATACCAGTGATGGGGGAGAGAGATGGAATTCTTGGAACCGATTTCCTCACCGCCTTTGTAGGGACCGAAGTGCCTACTTCATGAGAGTCATTGGTAGAAGGGTGCCTTAAGGTCTGATCCGGATCATCCATAACCAAGATGGGAGAATGTGGAACGGATGAGGTTGGAGAATTTCCCTCTGGGATAGTTATCGCCTCCGGAGTTGGAATAAGTTCAATCGGCGGCACCATGGTCACCCCATGGTGTCTATCTGGTGCCGCTTCTAGTGCGGAGGATTTGCGCGCTCTCGGTGCCGCCTCTGGTAATGTATCTTGGCGCTTCGCCGGTGCCAGTTGCAGAACCAGCTGTTGGAAATCATCCGGTGGCCTGCGTGGCGTCAGCTCATTTAGAGCTGCTGGTGCCAACTGCAGTGCCGACTTGCCGGCTCCGTGATGCTCAACGACGGGTGCGTTGTCTACTGTTTTTGAAGTGGCGGCACCGCTTTTTTAGAATTATCCTTGCGGGCGGGCAAAGGCGCTGGCACCGATGCTGAGCGCACCAAAGGCATAGGCCCTTTGGAGTGAGTTTGTGCCGTGGTTCTAGCGTTCCGACCAGCTCCTAACGTGCCGGGTTTGTCTCGTTTGCTGACCCTAGTCGAAGGAGCAGCAGCTAAGGAGTGTGTGGGAGAGGCTTTTCTCTTTTTACTAGCCAGTACCCCAGGTGGTGATGCTCTCCTTTTCTCCGCCGACGTTGAGTCATGCAAAACAGCTTTGGAAGGCTGAAGTGCCTTGTCGAAAAGTATCAACTTCAGCCTCATGTCTCTATCCCTACGTGCCCTGGCAGTTAATCTAGAGCAATGGGCACATTTCCATGGGACATGGGACTCCCCGAGGTAGCAGATGCATGCGTCATGACCATCTGACGCCAGTATCGGGTCTTTGCACTGCAAACACTTTTTAAACCCTGGAGAGCCAGGCATTCTGGCTCGCAGGAGGAATAACGAGGTGTATATAAAAACTAACTATAACACTAACTAGTATAACAAATGAACAAATAATTTTCTTTTTTTTTTTTGTAACTAACTGATCTACTAACTAACTAATCAACTAAGCACTAGAAAACAAAAACCAACTAATTTTAAACTTTTTCTCTGTAGAATGGCTTTATCTCTGAGGAAAGAAAACGGAGCTCCGCCAGCAACCGAGGACGGTTGAGAGGAACTGGCGGGGAGCTGGACCGCGCGATGCCAGAAAGGGTGCGAACGGCGCGTGACTGCTACTGCGCATGCGCGGCCCGGCCGATTACGGCTACGAAAAGCCTCCAATCAGCGGCGCGGGGACAAGCCCGACACCTTGAGCGGAGCACCCACGGGGACCACTTGAAGAAGTCAAGTCTTTTATTGTCCTTATCAGATGGCACAGAATGGTTTTATTGCTGCGCAGCATAGGGGGTTGCTATAGGAAACAAGAAGGGGTTGGTGACTTGTGGTTGCCCTGCTAACTGCTGCAGTGCCTTAGTGAGCACTTGAAGCGCCGCTGTACTCAGCCCAATGGTAGTCAGTGCTGTGCTCGGTGCTGTGCTTTTTGAGGCAGCCATAGGTGCCTGTATGGCCTGTCGCCTCTGGTTGGGCGCCTTGTGCAGCACTTTTATGATGATGGCGGGGCTTGCTTGAGGTACCTGGTCTATCATAGGTGCTGAGGTGGACTTTGTCAGGGTTACCCGACTGCCTCTTGATTGTTCGCCATTTAGGCGAGTGCGGGTGTTGCGGCAATGAGGTGTCCCGTTTCTTTGGGGATGTAGGTGGTTTATCCCATTTGGCTGTGGGGATCTGCCCAGAGCCAGGATCTGAGGAAGGGTGTTTGCCCTTCTCTGTTAGGATCATTTTCAAGCGGAGGTCTGTCTCTCCGCGTGCGCAGTCCCATTGTGAGTGCCCGAGGCACTTAACACGCATCATGGCCATCTGAGGCTGACGTAGCATCATTGTAGTCAGCATATTGTTTAAAGGTGGTTGAGTCCATCTCTCAGCAACGTTATCCCTTGTCCAAGGGAGTCTGCTGACGCGGGCAGCAGTTGTTTATTTTTTCTTAAATGCTAACACTAGTAACTACAAAGGAAAGAACTTGGTGTGAACTAATCTAACTAATTCTCTTCAAAACAGGTGAGGAACAAGGAGCACTGCAGAGGTCCATCTGAAGCTGGGGACAGTAGAAAGGAACTGAAGGGTGGCCGCACATGCAGAATGGTACAGGGGGGCCCGCGCATGTGCGGCTCCAATGCACTGCTATAAAAAATATGCTCTGAGGCACTGGAACACACCTACTGTGGAGCACCTCCAGGGACGTCTCTTGAAGAAGAACCATTCTTGTGTTCACTATCTGTAGGGGAGGGGAAGCCTCTTGTGAAATGTTCTCCACACAAGGTTTGAGTGGCAGGTATGAGGTTGAGAACCACTTTGGACTAAGTCACTAACCTACTGAAATAATGCCTGAAACCAGCTCCCATTTGATAGGAAACAGATGTTCTCTCTCTCACACACTATTAACATATACCTAGGGACATTGCTTACTCACTAGTGAATGAACTGTATATCCTTTATACTTCAAGACCAAGTGTCATCACACTTTATGGGATTCTCAATGTGGCCTATAAGATATCTATTAGGCTTCTGAATACCCTGCCTCAACATTGTTACCATTTTATGGATGAAGAGGCAGAGGAAAGCTAAGCCAATGCTCAAAATGCATAGGGCAAGTTACACAGCTGTTGAAAGCGGGGTTAGAGGATACAGTGGTAAAACACTAGCACTCAGTAAGCATTCTTGCTACCACTAGTGAAGCTGTTCTTGCTGAGAAGAACATGAGAAAAAATGTCTACAGAGCACTCAATGTATATCAGTGATAAGCTGTAAATGGTTCATTTCCAGGAGAGCTCACGTACACACCATTTTCAACCAATGAATATCCTTGCTAGAATGTTGTGCAGTGGAACAGTGTTCTTAAGATGGCTTTGGTGGCAAGTGCCAACACAGCAGACCACTGATCCAAATGCATACTCCAATGTAGGCAGAAACCAACTGTTGCTGTCTGAATTAGAATACAATTTTTGAAACTTGTTTCGGTAGGCTTTGATCCTATTAGCACTGACCACCTAGGCAGATCATTACTTGCTTTCGCATATTAATTATGCTTTCATATCTTAGCCTCTTTCTTCCTAAGGTGTAATAAAAAGGTAAAGGAATTTTTAAAAAAACATTCAAAACAGAATTAATAAAAGACAGACACAGGGCAACTTACGAGTGTCAGCTACAGTAAGGCAGTTTTATTAATTTGAAAAGTTGAGAATGCTTTAATTTACAAATGTATTAATGATTTCAATAATCTGGCAATTATGGAAAAGAAATTTTACAAAAGTTACAAAAATTATACTGTATTTTAAAATACAAAAAAGCTATTGGTCAACACTAAAGATATATATTATGTGACGATAGTTTCAGTCCTGTTGCAAAATAGAGTTTTTATGTCTATGCCTTCTCAAAACTACAATAAATCTTGAGGCTAAGGCACTTTGAATATATGTTCATTAGCATTAAGAAAAAACATTATGAGACTGCAATAAATGGATGCTCTTATGCCTACTAGCGGCTGTCAGTGCACCAGACTCTTGTGAATGGGCACAGTTCTTGACAAACTGAAAACTTTCTTCCCAACTCTGATAATTTAACTAAAAATTAATTCAAGCAAATTTACATTTAAGGAGGTTCAGAGAATTCTGAGATTTAAGTCCATGGAAATGGACAGTGAGGATTAGCATATGTAGACTTTTTCAGAAAAAACTTTTAGTCTCTCTAGCCAAAGCTATTTACTGTTCCGTACCCCAATCCGATGGTATCTAGGTTCAACACAAAAGGTTCGTCTACACAGCAGCAATATTTCAGAATAACTGATGTCATTACGAAATAACATAGTCCGCGTCTACACACAAGCAGTTATTTTGACAATGTCGAAATAATATCAAGCTGGAGGACTTCTTTCTCCGACTCCTGTAACCCTCATTGTACGAGGATCAAGGGAAGTGGAGGAAGAGTACTCTATTTCGAAATAAGTGCTGTGTACACGTGCCCAAATTTGAAATAAACTACTTCGACTTAAGGTACACAATTAGCGTAGCTCAAGCTGCATAGCTTATTTCGAGATTAGCACTGCTGTATAGATAGTCTTCAAAGCACTACACAACCGCCATAGGACCTTGTTTTCTATTCCTCCCATTCTTTTTAAAAGATAGTTTCTGATGCTGATTAAGAAGAGGATATTGACAGTTAACATCTGACAGTCTCTTTCTTCCCATGGCGCTACTGTCCATAAAACAATTCTTCCTTTTTGAGTAAAAGAAAGCCACCACCTTAAAGAAAACTCATTGGAGTGGTAACTAGAAATGTGTTTAGTGCAACCTTTTTAATTCTGTGTATCAAGCCCAAAAAGTGAAATACAAAACATTCATTTAAGCCCCAAAAGCCCAATTCTTTACTCATATTAGTTCTACTATATTTAATGGGCCAACTCAAAAGCTTAGTTATCTGCAGGATCAAATACAATTTGTACTTTTCTTAATTTTCACTCAACTAAATAGTGTAGCAAAAGTACAGCAATTAGTGATAAAAAAAAAACTTCTTCAAAATCCAGGAAAAACACATAAACCAAAACTGAATTTTCCTCAAAACAGATGAACCAGTAATTTGAGCACATAATTTCCCTGAGTAATATTTTACAATTATAACATTCTACACTAAAATCAGCATGTTGTGACAAACAAGGATAGCAGCCTTGATTGTGAAAACAAAACACGTTTTCTGATGTTTGGCATATTCTACTGTTAAATATCCTACAGTGAAGACTAGCAATGTTCATTGTAGAGAAGCTAGGAAAACTAACATCTGAGGAAGTGTTTTACAAGAAAAATTGTGTTTCAGACATACTTAATGATTTTTAATTTCCTTCAATTTGAAAATGTAGCAAATCTTCAATGCCAGTGGAAACTTTCATCACATCAATATAGTGCAGTCTCAACTTGGAAGATAACAAAACAGTTTTATGTCTAAATAAATCTAAAACTGTATCTATGTGAACTATATAATAAGCAATATATTCCTATCAGCAAAGTGAAATGTGAGTACACTGCATTATTTGTGTTTCAAAAATATTTTCAGTTTCCTTTTTTTTTCATTGAGAAGAAGGATAAACTCTCTCAGAGCACTAATATATCAATAATTAATTTCAAGCCTTTATTTGTGCGGAAATCCACAGGATGTCAATTGTGTAAAGTTGTTTTGGACACCAATGCTTGTGCAGATGTTTTTTGTTTGGGGAGATAGCATTTTGTCAGTTCTGTAGGCCATACTCTTCATGGCCTTTGTATATATATTCATAGCGTTTTAGTCTCCATATATTCACAAGCAAGCCACATTCAGTTATGAACGAATAAGCTGCAAATTTGTTCCTTCTCAAATTGCTATTCCACAAAACTGGTGGTTAAAATATCTACCTAATCTAAATATTCAGTTTCTTCTAACTGTAAATGTCATAATTTGATGCACCCATTTTTCTATGACACAATAAATTAGAGTTACTGGTTCTTTGCTCTTTTTCAAGCGTACTAAAATGATTTACATATGCCTCAAAAATTAAGGTCATGTCAGAATAAATCTTTACAAATTAACGTTTCCTTCACAATCTCAAAGTAGGAAAATTCGCTAATATAATAATAGTGTGATTATGTGAAGGTTTAGAGCAGCAACATTTTAAAATAAACTGTTTGAATATTACCATTTTTCTTACATGAGTTGAAAGTAATTGTTTCAGTAAAAGTATTTTAAAAAAAAATCTGATGAACTGATGTGATACCAGTCCTATAGTATCTGCTGTATTAAAAGATGTATAACTGGAACATTTCACTTCTTTATAATTCAGGAATTTGACTCACAATACAACAGAATTGTTCAATGCATTCATATTATAAACTTTCCTACGGCAGTTTGAAATAGTTCTTTAGTGTGGAAATTATACATACGAAGTAATGTCAGTTTATAACATTTTATGAAATTAAAATGATGTTCTCAAATTACCCTCAACGTATATCCACAGTTACAACTAGACCGGGTTTCCTTTTTTATTTGTTGAATGCTGATTAAGAATTGAAGGGTTGGTTGAATTTACCTTCATCTATAGCAGTGGGATCCAAGACATGATGTGGTTCTAGTGGTGCACTATGGGCCATTAATGCAAAGGTGAGAAATTTGTATATAATCCCTTAGAACTGCCAATGCTTGTCACTCTCTCTTATTGTAGATCAGAAAAGAGAACGTTGGCAACAGCAATTATAGGTATGAAATGGGTTTTTTTTTTAAACAGAAAACAAGCTACTGAGAATAGCAGTTATTTGAATACAAAGCCAAATATTTGTTCTATCCTAGTCACAAAACAGGAGTTAATCAAATTAGCAAAACCAGGAGACTGGAAAGTATGTGAATATAGACCCCTTTTAATTGTTAATTTAATGCTGTTAAAAATGTCAGACATGTTGGCTGACTTCCAACATGCATACCACTGATACTGTTATCAAAATTAAAAACTAAAAATCAGTAATATAGTGCACGCTGTGTAAACAAAGATTTAAGGACAGATTTAGCTATTGTGATTTCAGCTCCTTCTCTACCTATTTAAAAAAACCTGTCAGAAGGCTCTTTCCCCTTAATTTGGTTGACATACAAGTGTAAAATAGCATAGTATAGTCTGATAGCATAAGGCTACATGTGCAGGCACAAACATTCCAACGTACATACATATATACAGTATATAAACATGTATGTTGCACATCACCAACATCATAGTGAAGTTCTACCACTGTTCCCAGCTAAAGTCATCTCCTCTACCAAATACAAGAAAAAAGCCTAAAATGGTAAGAAAAATGACTGCATTGCCAGCTAGCACAAGACCACAGGCTCCCCACTTGATCTGAAATACAAGACAAGAAAAAAAATCCTTATTTGGTTTACATGATATGTACAGACGTGTGTTATTTTCATGCATTAGATAAACTAAATGAAATATTACATAGGGGTGCTAAAAGCATAAGGGAAAAGACCAACAATTCATTCAGTTGAAGCATTCAATTAGCAACCAATGAAGTAACTAGTATTATACTTATAAATTATCCCTTCATTAGACACTCTTCTTCAATACACTATTTTTCAGAACAAAATAATTATCTTAAAGCAGAATCATCTCAGCAAAGAGAAAAAAACACCACAGTATACAGAAAATTCTTTCAAACTCAATGCTTTCTCCTAACATCTATGCATTATAAATTGGAAAATATTCTATTAATTCAAGGCAAGGAATAACAGAGAAAAATAATTTGCAATAATAAATAGCAATAGCTGTTTGAAGCCAAACAATCCCATGCACCGGGATTTTGTTTTTATAGGGAAAAAAAACAATGAAGAGTCCTGGGGCATCTTAGGACATAAGCTTTAGTGGGTAAAACCCACTTCAGATGCATTGGAGTGGAAATTACAGAGGCAGGGATATATAGATGTTCTAGTACAGGTTGGACCTCTCTGGTCTGGCACCCTCGGGACCTAATTGGGAATTTGCCAGACCAGAGGAGATCCCGTTACTGGCTTCCCAGACCACCTTCCCACCCCACTGCCAGTCCCAGCTGCACCCCTGCTGCAACCCCAGAAAGCCCCGGTCCTACTACTGGGGCTGCCATAGCTGCTGCATCTCTAGCCCTGGCCCCGTTACCAGGGCTGCTGCATCTCCAACCTCGGCCCCGCTATTGGAGCTGCCGTGGACTGCTGCATGTCCAGCCTCAGTCCCACTCAGGCCGCCACCCTGCTATCGCAGCTCCTGCAACTGTCACACCTCCAGCCCTGCTATTGGGACTGCCACGGCCCCTGCTGCTCAACCGGGGCTCCAGCCCCAGTCCCAGCCCCAGCGGGCTCCAAGCCTTCTGACCACTGGGACGCTCAGCCAGGATTCCCTGGTCCAGGAACACCTGTGGTACTGCCAGACCACAGATGTTGTTAGATGAAGGAGTCCCAGTTTTGGGAGGTCCAACCGGTATATGAAAAGACAGGAGTTACTTATCAAGTGTAAGACCAGTACTAACAAAGCCAAGTCAGTCAGAGTGGATGTTGCTCACTCACAGCAGCTTTTGGAGAGGTCTGAATACCAAGAGAGGAAAATTGCCTTTTTAGTGAGATAACCAATCTAAATCCTTATTCAGTCCTAATTCGATATTACATTTGCAGATGAATTGCAGCTCTGCTGTTTCTCTTTGTAATCCATTTCTTAGTGTCCAGGGAGAATAATGTGTTTTCCTACGGGTTTACGTATGTTACTTTTCTTGAGGTCTCATTGGTGTCCATTTATCTTTCGGTGCAGAGACTGCCCAGTCTGGCCAATATATATTGCAGAGATCACTTAGCATATATCACATTAGTAGATGTGCAGGTGTATGAGCCTCTGATGTTGTGGCTTATGTGGTATGGACCTGTGATGGTGTCACTTGTATAGCTGTCTGGGCAAAGTTGATGGTGTACAGCAAACAGGAGACTATCAAGAATGAGCTCTCAAAACTAGAGATTTTCATAAAAAACCTTCCACAGAGCTGGACTTTACAAAAACTAAACAAGTAATTTACAATGCACACTTCCCTGCAAAAGAAAAAGGAAAATAAACTATTCAAACTCCTAGGGTATGTCTAGACTACATGGCTCCATCGACGGAGCCATGTAAACAAGTTTACCCGGCATAGTCAATGAAGCGGGGATTTAAATAATCCCTGCTTCATTAAAATAAACATGTCCACCGCGCTGTGCCGACAAGCAGCTGATCCAGCACAGCGTGGCAGTCTAGATGCAGATCTATTGTCTGGGGAAGCCTTTGATGACTGATCCTGTAAACCTCGTTTCACGAGGCATAAGGGATCGGTCGGCAAAGGCTTCCCCAGCCGACAAATCCGCGTCTAGATTGCCATGCTGTGCTGGATCAGCTGCTTGTCGGCACAGCGCGGTGGACATGTTTATTTTAATGAAGCAGGGATTATTTAAATCCCCGCTTCATTGACTATGCCGGGTAAACTTGTTTACATGGCTCCGTCGACAGAGCCATGTAGTCTAGACATACCCCTATAGGCCATGGGGGGGGGGGGAAGGGGATACAACAGTGGTACCCTCAACTCACCCAACAGCATTGTTAATCTATCCAACCTCACACTTAGTCCATCAGAAGAGTCTGTCCCATCTTGGGGACCCTCTTTCTGTCCCACCATTCCCATGCACATGATAAAGCTCTGCATTGATCTGAAAGGCTATTCTCGCTGTGTTTGACTCAAGGAATATTTCCAACACATCACTGAACCTTGCACTGGCCCACAGGATCCCTCCTACCAACGCTACAAGAAGAAGAATTCTGTGTGGACTCCTCTTGATGGTTGTAATGATAGTCTGGACTTTCACAGATCTGCACAGGCTGAAATAGTGAACAAACAACATAACCTCTGCCATGTAGAACATAATGCTATCCATAGACTCAAAAACAACTATGACCTTATAATCAAAGAGGCTGACAAAGGAGGTTCTGTAGTTATCATCAATAGGTTAGATTATAAACAGAAGGCTGCCAGGCAATTCACCAACACAACATTCTACAGACCACTTTCCTCTGATTCCACTGAGGAAAAACAACAACAACAAAACTAATTCATCTGCTCAAGAAACAGCACAGGACCAAATCTACATACATACCCATAGAGTCCCAACCAAGAGTATTCTGGATTTTTTACCTTTCAAAATGATGTTTAATTTACAAACAAAAATAATGTTCTGTACCCAAGATCCATAAACCTGGAAATTCTGGACACCTCATCATCTCAGGTATTAGCACAGTATTACAGCAGGGTTGTCTGGCCATATGGATTCTCTCCTCAGATTCTATGCTACCAGCACTTCCAGCTATCTTCAAGTCACCACTGACTTCCTGAGAAACTACAATCCATTGGTGATCTTCCTGAAAACACCATCCTGACCACTATGAATATAGAAGCTCTTTACACCAAATTCCATGTGAGGATGGACTATAAGATGTCAGGAACAGTTTCCCCAACAATGCCACATAGGGAAGTTAAATTTCATTTAATCAACTAATTGGCTAGTCAATAGATTTTCCATCAACTAGTCAATTAGTCGGTAAGTGGGGGAGCCAAAGCAGGGTTACTTCTCAGCTCCAGGAGCTAATCCCACTGCGGCTCTGCCTTTTCAATGTGCTAAGAGCCTACTAGTTCTTAATACATTTAAAAGACTGAAGCACAGTGCCAGGGGAGACCCAGCACAGGCCAGGCCAGCTGATTCCCAGCTTAAATGTAAAAAGGCTGGAGTGCAGCACAGGACCCAGCACGAGCCAGGAATCAGCTAGGTCAGCTCGCGCCAGGTCTCCTCCACTGTGCTTCTGATTTTTAAACGTATTAAGAGCCAGCAGGACACGAGCTGGGAATCAGCTGATTCATTGCTTGCATCCGGTTCCCACTACCCCCGTCTCCCCCTCCCCCTGCTTTTAAGCCAGCTCCTCCCAGCACCAGCTCCTGCCCCCCCCTTGCTGTAAGGGTGCGGGAAGCAACTAGTCAAGGGACTAGTCGACTATCTGATAAGCTTTTGCTTACATCCCTAATGCCACAACACACCTGGTGGCTGAACTATGTGACTTTGTTCTCATCCAAAACTATTTCCAATTTGGGGACAATTTATACCTTCAAGACAGTGGCATTGCTATGGGTACCTGCAGGGTCCCACAGCATGACAACATTTTTTGGCTTACCTAGAACATTTCCTCAGCTTTCATCCCCTAGCATCCCTCCTCTCCTTTCACTATATTGATATCATCCACTGGGGAAAAGGTCCTTGAAGAATTCCACAGGGATTTCAACAATTTCCACCCCACCATCAACCTCAGCCTAGTCCAATCCACACAAGAGATCTATCTTCTGTACACTATGATAGAAATAAATGACAGCCACATAAATACCACCTGATTCCGGAAATCTATTGCCCATTATTCTTACCTACATACCTCTAGTTTCCATCCAAGACACATCACACAATTCATTGTATATATAGCCAAGCCCTATGATAGAAATGTATTTGCTCCAATCCCTCAGACAGAGAAAAACACCTACAAGATCTTCATCAAGCCTTCTTAAAACTTAAATAACCATCTGGGGAAGTGAGGAAACAGATTGACAGAGCCAGAGGAGTATCCAGAAGTCACCTAACGTAAGACAGGCCCAACAAAGAAAATAACAGAATACCACTGGTTATCACCAACAGCCCCCAGCTAATACTCCTCTAGCACATCACTGACAATCTACAACGGAGTTGGCAACCTACAGCACATGTGCCATAAGTGGCACACAATCCGATTTTGAGCAGCATGTGGGGAGTTCAGCCCCCCCACACCACGTTGCGGGGAGCCCACACTGTCCCTTGAATAACAGGCAGCAAAAGAACCACATACCCCCTTCTTGGCTCAGTTATTCACATGAGCACAGGGCCAGGCAGGCAGGCTGGAAAATGTTTTAATCTCTGCAAGTCTTAGCTTGGCAGGCAGGCAGACTGGTTTGGCTGCTGGCTGGTATGTCTCCTGGCCAAAGCCTGCCTTTGGCACCCCATCTCCTCCCTTTTCCAACCCTCTGCCCCACAAATCAACATACTCATAACCCCTCCCAGATCTCACACCCCAATCTCCTGCCCCAGATCACAATCCCCTCTTACCCTAGGTCACATCCCAAACCCCTGCACTCCAGTTCCCTGCCCTAGGTCACAACCACCTCCTTTACCCAAACTCCCTCCCAGACTCCAGTCTCCCTCCTTCACCCCAACCTCTTACCCCAAGCTCCCTTCTGCACCCAACCTCCATCCCAGTCCCCGCATCTCCTCCATTAATATCACGGAAGAGTGTGACTCTCAAACACATTTCAAAATCATGAAGTGGCCCCTCCCCAACAAAATTTATTGCCCACCCCAATTTAAAGTGTTTTAGGATCCAGGCAGGCAGGCAGGTAGCCCAGCTCAGTTCTGGCTCATGCTGAGTCCAGGAGCTCAGACCCAACCACCCCGGACAGAGATTGCTGCCATCCCACACTGCTGCCTCTTTATCAGAGGCAGCAGCACTGAGTGATAGGCAGCCAGTCTGCAAGGAAAGCTGTTTTTTAAATTGGCTCCCCTTGTGGACCAGCTCTCACCTGGCACCCCACGCTACTGATACAGAGGGATCAGCGCAGAATAGCAGGGGACTCCTCAGGAATGAGGCTGGAACACACTGGCTGCCGGCTCCAGCATAGGGACTATAGAATAGTAAAGTAACTGACTAGTCAATTAACTGTTATTTAACATCCCTACATCCACCTGCACATCTACTAACATGATTTAATGCCATCACATGCCAGTAACATCCTTCTGCCATGTATATTGGCCAAACTGGGCAATCTCTGACCAAATAAATGGAGAACACTTTTAAATCATTTACTGAGTGTCCAGGGAGGCTAAAGGAGCCATTCTTCTACCAAAAAACTCCAAAACCAGATTATAAAGTGAAACAGTACAACTGCAATTCATTGAAAATGTAATACAATTACAGTAGGATTGAATAAGGTTTAGATTGGTTCTCTCACTACAAAGGCAATTTTCCCTCTCTTGGTATTCACACCTTTCTATCAGCTGTTGAGTGAGCCACATCCACCCTGACTGAACTGGCATCATTAACATTGGTCTTACACCTGATAAATAACACCCATCTTTTTTTACATTAGTACTTATGCATATACCCCTGCCTCTCTAATTTCCACTGCAATTCATCCGATGAAATGGGTTTTACCCATGAAACCTTATGCCCTAATAAATCTGTTAGTATCCAAGATGCCACAGGACTCCTTGCTGTTTTTGCAGATACAGGTTAACACAGCTACTCTTCTGAAACTTTGCTTTTAAAAAGATATCGCTAGGGATTAGAGTACCCTCTTGTGGGCATTCTGGTTTTGTCTATTATTAAAAACCTGCAACTGGTAAAACAATTTGTTTTTACACCGTGTCTTTCATACAGACGATTATAAAATACATAAGAATGAAGCATACAAAAGCCTAAGCAGAAGAGGAAGTTGTAAAGTGATATTAAGGGGAAAAATGCTTCAGGAGGATAGCATACATAGCAAAGAAACAGTGTCAGACTAAATCCATTCCACAGAGGAGCAGAACAGGGATAAGGCAAAGAGAAATGGAGTTAGTGGGTGGATAAAATGTAGGGTACAGCAAGTTTATGGAATGTTTTGAAAACCAGGAAGGTAGTTTTGGATACATAGTGTTATTTCTTTAAGCAAGAATGTATTTTGGCCACATAATTTTGAATGCCATATAATTTTTCTATAGCCAAAAGATTTTTTAATAGGCCAGAATAAAGGAGTTGTAATACCCGACACAGAAAAGGAAGAGGCACAGATACAAATTCAGAAGTTCCACTATCAAGAATTCTGGAAATGGGAACAGGCAGACTAGTTAAGGATGAAAATGAAAGTTTGTGAGCAAAAATGACTCCAATGTTTAGGCTGAAAAGAGCAACAATATTAGTTAAGTAGGGTCATAAAAAACTGTAAACAAATGTGCAACCATAGGAAGTTTATTATAATAAGAAAGAGTCAGCAGAACGTACCGCTTCAACACGTGCAAGGATTATAGGCAATCCAAAGGCAGAAACAACAATTCCAGTTGTGAAGAAATATGCCAATTCCCTGCAGGCACTGCTAGCTGCGTCAGTGTCATCACTTATTCTTCTTGCAATGCAGTGAGGTATTGGACAAATGATGTAAAATACCAAGACAAACAGAGGCCAGTAAACACTGCAGGAGAAAAAGCCCCAAAAGAAATCTAAATTACTGTTCTCATTAAAGATGTCAATCTGTTTTGATTTCAAAGAGACTTTCACAAGATCAGGGCCAATGTTTGAATTAACATGGACTGGTGCTGGGCCACAGACTGCTGGCTGCCAGGCTGCAGCAGCTCTGGAGCCTGGGGCTGGGGTACACCGCCCACTGCCTCCCCTGCCACTGTGGCTATTGGGAGAGGCATGTCCTGCCCCATCTCTCAGACAGCCAGTGCCAGAAGGGGCAGGGTCTCCTCCTGGATGCGAAGAGCACTGGGAGGGCCATGTGGAGCCCGACACAGCAACCTTAGAGCAGCTGTGACCTGGGCAGCAGCGCTTAGCTGGCAGCTGGGTGGCAGTGCAAGGCTAGGTGAGGGGGGCAGGCACTGGGGATTCCAGGGGTAGAGCTAGTGCTTAAGGGGCTCTAAGAAGCAGGGGCTGGCACTGGGAAGTTTCTGGGGGCGGGGCTAGTAGTGGGTGGGGGGAGACTACCAGAGCTGAAGCTGGCTGTTCATAGTGGCTCTGGTGGGGGTCAGGGCTTTTGGCAGACAGTAACGTTTGTAAATGGGTTTGCCAGTCCACAATATAAAAAAGGTTGGGAACCACTAAACTAACCTACTTTTTAACCTCTTAATTGTCAGAAAAAAATTACTACATAAGCATATTTCTTTTCTTCTCTTTTTTTTGCCCTACATACACTACTGAAAAAGCGTACACCTAATAGTTAATCTTAAAGTTCTTTAATTTTATGGTTATTTGTATACTCTTTTTCAAAAATAAAGCATCTGGTTGTTGTTTAGAATTAGTAAAATATAAATATTAGTAAAATATAAAATGTATAAATATAAATAATATACATTTAATGCTGCTTATGTATATCAGATAAGTTCACCTCTACTCCATTAATTCAATATTTTAAGAAAATCAATACTGATTAAAATCAAATCAATAGCTGAGAAATCTATACAAAAATACTTCCACAAAGTTAAAAATTACTGACCCACTAAACAAAATTAACTATATTGCTACTCAGCTGATACTATGTATATAATGATTTTAGTCCACTTTTACAGAAAACATTTATGTAACTGTTCCGGTCCACGGCAGGACATACCATCCACACTGATGTGGGAGGAAGGTTCCCGCTTCAGCCTCTTCTTGCCCTTGTTTAATTAGTTAACAGATTAAAATTAATGTGGTTTTTACATCCCTAGCCCATGCAGGGCTGTATCCATTACTAAGTGTTGGTTCTAGACCTTTCAATGATATTCAAGAATAGTAGGTTTCATATGAATAATCATAAATGCCAAGTTAAATGGGTTTCAAAGACATTCAGAGTCTATAATTCTTAGTTAACAACTACTGGACTTTTTTTTTTAGCTAATAGAACAGAAGTTAAATGTGCATACTCCAAATCATATGGGATCAACACACAACTAAACTGCATATGTGTATTTACATGGGCAATACAAGAATACAAAGTGAGAACAAAATCATTTTTTATTTTTGAGATGAATTATTTCTTACCCATAATACTCTAGGGCACATCCCAACATAAGAAAAGTTAAACCAATGGCTCCACTGAAAGATAAACCAACAAGGGCTGTACAAGAGAAAAGAAATGAATGGTTATGCTGAAAACTCAAAACTAAAATATAATTATAACTTTAAATGGAAGACAGCCTGACATTGTCGCAGCAACACTTTTTCCAAGAGTAAAAACTGCCCTTGACATGAATCAGAAGATGCAATTAAAAGTGGTTATTTCAAGTCAGTTGTGTGACTTGGTTACTAATGATCATTGTAGCAGATACATTCATTTCTCATTTTCTCATTTGTTTCACCTTTTCTGCTCTTGAGAACATACTCCTCTTTTATTGGGCTTCAGACTGTTCCCTACAGTGTTTGCAACTAACACACTGTAGCACCCTTAGAATGCATGGAAAGCAAAAAATAAAACCAGCTAGTTTCTCTCAGTAGCACCAAGCTAAAAAAGAGGCCAAAGTATCATCAGATACTGATATTTGAGGATACTGATATTTGAGGATCTTACATAGGGATGTTAGTGTGTAGTTATTTACACAATTAACCGATAAGCCTGGGCTTATTGGTTCATTCTAACGACGACACGCACTAGGGATGTTAAATATTGGTTAATTGAATAGTCACTTGACCTCATGAATTCTTATCAGTTACTCCACTATTCTATGGTCCCCGTGGGTGGGCTGGCAGCCAGTATGCTCTGATTCCATGCCCAAGGAGCCCCCTGCCACTCTACACTGCTGCCTCTGTATCAGAGGCAAGCCAGAACTGAGCTGAGTTGCCTGCCCAAGTGGCTCCTAATACACTTTAAATGCAGAGCTGCACTAGGAGTAGGTCCCAGACTTCACACAGGCCAGGCCTGAACCATGCTGCTGGCCAACCTGCTAAAAATATTACTGGCAGGGGATGTATGTAGTCTGTAGCATTAACCTATAAGTTTTTGCTTCAACTACAATATCACATCCTTAAGACACACCCTGCCCTCCTTGCTGCCTCTAAATCAGAAGCAGCAGCAGGTGGAAGGAGGCGGGAGATGGTTTCCCGTGCATGCCATATAGGCAAAAGTGCAGGGGAGCAGGCAGGAGCTGCTCCCCCCACCCTCCTGTCTCTGATAGAGAGGCAGCAGCAGCACGGGTGAAGGGGGAAGCCTGTACACACAGTAAGCTAGTTTTCAAATTGGCTAGCTGTGTATACCGGCTTGGCTATGTATACTGATTTCCAACTTTTACAGATGTCAGCCACTTCAGTGAATACTGCTGAGGGGTGGCAAAGCTGAGGACCTACTCTGAGGGCAAAATGAGAAATAGGGGAACCAGATACTTCAGGGAGACCAGACTAGAGGGCAGACAAGGAAGAAACAGAGGTGTCCCCGGGGGCCATAAGAGAGAACTGGTGTGTCCAGACCCTGTAGTAATGGGTAGAATCATAGAGCTGGAAGAGACCTCAAGAGGTCATCAAGTCTAGCTCTCTGCCCAAGGGAGGATCAGTCCCAACTAAATCAACCCACCCAGTGCTTCACCATCCTCCTAGTGAAATAGTTTTTCCTAATAACCAACCTAGACGTCTCCCACTGTAACTTGATACCATTGCTCCTTTTTCTGCCATCTGTTACTACTGTGAATAGCCCTTCTCCGTCCTCTTTGGAACTTCCCTTCAGGAGATTCAAGACTGTTATCAAATCCCCTGTCACTCTTCTCTTCTGAAGACTAAACAACTCCAAATCCCTCAGTCTCTCCTCATAGGTCATGCGCGCCAGCCCCCGAATCATTTTGGTCACCCTCCACTGGACCCTCTCCAATGCATCTACATCCTTTCTATAGTGAGGGGCCCAGAACTGGACACAATACTCCAGGGCTGTTTCTAGACTGGCCAGTTTTTCAGGAAAATCAGCTGCTTTTCCGGAAAAACTTGCCAGCTGTCTACACTGGCTGCTTGAATTTCCACAAAAGCACTGACTTCCTACTGTAAGAAATCAGTGCTTCTTGCGGAAATACTATGCTGCTCCCGTTCGGGCAAAAGTCCTTTTGCGCAAAACTTTTGCGCAAAAAGGCCAGTGTAGACAGCTGAGATTTGTTTTCTGCAAAAAAGCCTCGATCGCGAAAATGGCGATCGGGGCTTTTTTGCGGAAAAGCGCATCTAGATTGGCACGGATGCTTTTCCGCAAAAAGTGCTTTTGGGGAAAAGCGTCCGTGCCAATCTAGACGCTCTTTTCGAAAAATGCTTTTAACGGAAAACTTTTCCGTTAAAAGCATTTCCGGAAAATCATGCCAGTCTAGACGTAGCCCAGACGTGGCCACACCAAAGCCAAATAAAGGCGAATAATCACTTCTCTGGATCTGCTGGCAATGCTCCTCCTAATGCTCCCTAATATGCCATTAGCGCTCTCGGCTACAAGGGCACACTGTTGACTCATATCCAGCTTCTCATCCACTGTAACCCCCAGGTCCTTTTCTGCAGAACTGCTACTTAACCATTCGGTCCCCAGCCTGTAGCAGCAAGGAAAACGGGGGAAAGGGGTGTCTAGAACTCAGTAGGAATGGGAGAACCGGGTGAATTAGGGAGATTCAGAGGAGTAAAGGAGAGTGTGAGATGAGAGGGAACTGTGGGAGGAGGGTTGCCAACTTTATGATTATAGCAAACCAAACATGCTTAGCTGACCTTTACTCATTCCATCCTCCTCCCTCTGTCACTCACCCTTTCTCCACCCTCACTCATTTTCACTAGGCTGGGGCAAGCATTCAGGTGCAGAGGGGAAGGAGGGCTCTGAGGTGGAGCTGGGGATGAGAGGTTTGTGATGGGAGTAGGATGGAGGCTAGTGTGCAGGATAGTGATGTTAGCAAGTAATCGACTGGAGTATAGACTACTGGCTCCCCAGCCTACTTCCTTAAAAGCCAGTTCCCCCCAGCACTATCTCCATGGTGCCGCTTCCCCACACTTTGCTTCCTCTATCAAGGAGGGATAAGGGAGGCTGCTGCAAAGCCGAGGCTTGCCATGGGCAGAAGCTGTTTCGGCAGCAGCCCATCCGCGGGACTCCCAGCGGGGAACTGGGCCCCCTGTGGAGAGAGGCTGCTGCTGCTAAGCAGCTCCTGTTTGTGGTAGCCCGGGCCGGCCACGCACAGGGGCTGCTCTGGCAGCAGCCCCTAGCCACGGACAGCCCCGGATGCCTCGAACAGAGGCTGCTCTGGCAGCAACCTACAGCAGCTCTTGTTTGTTGCAGACAGCGTTGGCCGCCACGAACAGGGGCTGCTGGACTCAACACAAGCCGGGACCAAGAAGTCCTGGTTTATGGTGGTCCGGGACGCTGTGCCTCTCTCTGCATTTTAAAAGTAGTAAGAGCCTGGCAGCATTTAAAATACATTTAAAATTCAGAGCCACAGCACAGGTTGCTCCCAGGGCCAGCACAAGCCAGAACTGCTCATTCCCAGCTAGAGCTGGCTCCTGGAACAACCCCTCTGCAAAGCGATCCTCATTGACTAATCGCGTAGATGATAAAAATTTTATCAATTACACGATTAGCCAGATAACCAGGATCTGAAGTGAAAAGGGGGTTGCCCTGAGCTGCACACCCTTCTAGGGGTGGCTTTGCCCAGGGATACCTGTTGGCTGCCCCAGCATTGAACCATGCAGCACAAATATTAACAGCACAGTCAGTCAGTGGTGCTCACTGGGGCCACCAATGTCCCTTTTCAACCAGATGCCAGGTGGCATCCTAGGGGAGGGCAGCTGGAAAAGGAGCAAACAGGAAGAACCTGGAGATTTCATGGCTCAGGAGGAGAAACAGAGTGTGACAAAGCTCCAAGCTCAGGAGGGACCGGAGGAGCGACATGCCACAGAGCAGGGAACTAGGGTGCCCAGGCGGGTGCAAGGTGCCCAGCTCAAGCGGGATGGCAGTTGGCGGAGGAGGAATGGAGGGGCATGACGAGTCACATGGGGGGAGGGGACGATTAGCAGAGAGGGGAAGGGACGGCTGTGGAAGGGAGGTGACGAGGCACAGCGGGGTGAGGGAGTGGTTGGTGAGGAGGATGAGGAGGCATAGCAGGGGGAGGGCGCCGTTGGTGGAGAAGGAAGCGGGGGGGGTGACGAGGCATAGCGGGGG